CATGTCTCGAGTCGAGATATTCCAGTCGTCGCGATCGCATTCGTTCGTTTCGATTCGTTTCGTAGAGGAGAAGAGTGGTTCGCTAGGGTTACTCGTGGCAGAAACATTGCGCAAAATTACAAAAGCATGAACGATACTGGTCAGGAAGGACGGATGGAGAGTGATGTGGTTAGAGCACGGAAACACGAAAAACACGAATCAGGAGTGATGACAACTATGCCAACGGTGTTTAGAGCAGGTATGAGTTTAACAAATGGTAATGGTGACGGCTGGGCGATTTCGATGCGGCGGAGGGACGTGATGATGAAGGAGTGAAGTTGGTGAGGCTCCAGAGGTGGGCGTGGAGCCAAATCTCTTGGCCAAAGTGGGTTCAGGGCTAACGCTGAGTCACGGGTTTTCTGGGATGGGTACAGGCATAACCTCGTTAAAAATAAATAAGCCCTCACCCAACCCAACTCGAGAAAACTAAACCAGATTAGGTTCACTGGCTAAAGGGTCCTTGGTGAGGAGTTCATCATGTCCTTGGATTTGGGTCAAAAACTTGCATGCATGATGCGAGAGGCCGTGCACTCACTGAAGTCAGTTGAAGCTCTCTACCATGTACCTTACTTGGGTAGGCAGGTGACAGCTGTGAGTGAGCTTGGGAGGAATGCTGGAGGGCAAGAAAGCTGTCGTCACTCAATATCTGCTCCCACAACCAGTCCATCCTTGATTGCTTGTTGCGCCGAGAGCCTATCATGCGGTGTGACGCTATCAAGTCATCGCAGCAGTCGCTCTTTGGTCTGTCTGTCGGTCAAACTTGAATACAAGCCCAGTAGCTCAGAACTTGCTCCTGGTGTCTGCCAACTCCCTTGATCCAAATGTTTGACCTCCAAGTCCGGCATGTTTGATTTCAAGGCACATGCGCAGATAATCCTGTTGAATGACACGTGCCAAAGTCACAGCGCGCCCAAGCTCCCCCGCCAAAGCCAGTGCCAGGATCAGCCGAGACGGGAAGGGAGCCACTGGAAAAACGTCAGGCCGCCTGAGCTCCCTCCTGCCCTTCCAGGTGACGATTGCGATAGCGATAAGCAAAAATTGGCGGCTACCTGATTTAGCCACCTTGCATCGCCTGGTGCGCAAGTCACGTACAAACATCGAGCAACAGCCACCAAAGAACCTTGAAGAGCTGAGCTCCTTTTTTCTGCTGCCTTGATTCGGCAGCAAAGTTAAGAAAACGCGGCCCGCTTCTTATCCCGACAACCCTCCATCGAGTCCAACCAACTTGACCGCGTTCGCTTGCCAACTTGACCTTGTGCTTGCTTCCTTCGCTTGCTATCATTCACCGACCAGAGACGATATCGGACGAGCTTGAACGAACGAGAAGAGCCATCACACGCACAACTCCGATGAGCACGCCCTTCCCTTGAAGCAGCACCACCGCCCACGACCGACTCTTGGTTATCACGACACACAATCACCATCGCTAGCGCACTCGAATGCGCCCACTTCTCTTCGTCTTCTGCTAAACGCACCACTTCGATACCTCCCGCTCCCCTGGCGCGGCCTCCTCCCGCCATCTCGTCGCTCCGATGTGGTGGCTATTTAGGGCATTCTTCAGCTCCATCTTCCTGCTCAGTATCGTCCTCTCCATCCCTGTCGCCTTCGATGTAGGCGGCCGTGATAGCGGGTTGGCCTACAGCCTAGCCCTGTTCCTCTTCTACTTTGTATATTCGACCTTGGAGCTTATAACGCCCGAAAATTCACGCTCTCGGTTCGTCCTGTCGGGCTTCTTGCGACTCTCGCAATGGATCATCATCCCCTCACTGCTGATCTGGTCGCTTGGTCAGTTTGCCGTGGATGCAGGCAACACAAACTGGGTAGAACGGACCTTGGGCGGTCTCCTCAACTCCAAGAGCACGAGCTGGAGGGAGTGGACATTTGGCAAGGATGGACTGGTGGAAACTGTTATGCTGGGAGGTTGGGACAATGTGCTTCGATATTGCGGTCCTGTGTTCCAGCTGCTGGAGGGTTTCTGTACCCTGTTGGTCATCCAAGCCGCAGGCCAGCTCACCAGGTGGCTTGTAAATCGAGGAAGAAGCGATACTTGGGTGGTACGTTTGAAACAGCGTCAGTCGAGATTCATGCTAACATTTCCGCAGATCGTCCTCCTCGTCCTTTCCAGCTCCATCATGGCTAGTGCCTCCTACTTCCTCTGGAGGGTTGCACAGTTCCCTCAGATCAGCAACGTCGATGCTACTCTTATCGGCATTGCAATGACCACGGCCGTCTTCCTTTGTGCTTTTGGTATTGGCAGCGGCCGAGGCAACCCCATAGAGTCATCGCTACTCTTTGCCTACATCGTCCTCTGCGTGTACCAGATCTTCACCGATTATCTCCCCTCAGAAAACTCTGACCAGGTCGAGGATCAAGAAAACTCTCAACCCGACATTCCTCCTCTGCCACCTATCATCATGGCATCTTACTCGACCTTTCTCCACATGCTCGGCTCTCTACCTTCTGCCGTTCACTCATCTCTGGCCCTATTATATGCGGCCTTCCAGACCATCACACCCTCAGTTATTATCTCTCTTACATACCGCTCATTGGTATTCTATTGCGCAACGCGCATTATCCCTTCGATCCGTGAATCGGGTGCGCGGGCCATGATGCAGGAGCCTGACTGGGAAGACTCAGAAGCTGCCAGCAGACTCTTGGGCTTCCTCAGCTGGTTCTCACCATCCATCTTGATAGCCATCTACACCAGCTTACTCTTGCAACATTTTTCGACGAGCGAGGGTCCCGATGGGTGGACGCTCAGAGGCGGCGACGTTGGTGGCGGCACCTGGCAGTGGACCAACATTGGCTTGACCATGGTTCTATATGGCGTGGAGCTCTACCTGGGCTCTGATGAGCACGATCACTGGAAGGTGGACTAATTGCCACTGGAAGCTGAATCAAGAAAGTGATGTTTCAAAGAACATCTGAGCTGCACCTATTCCGATAGGTGCCTAACCTGAAGACGGAGGGCAAGGGCCCCAGCCCGAGGCCGATTCCGAGAGGGAGCTAGAAGTGAAGGCGTCGACTTTTCGGAACGGGATACATTGATTTCAAGGTAGCATAAGGGACTGGGAAGCCCGGACTGGGACGGGCAGTGGGCAACGGGAAAGGCGCGGTAGCGCACCAGGCAGGCGTTGGGGCGGGTTGGGCAGCTATTTTGTTCTTGTTTGTTGTGCAGCATGGCGATACCGATATGATGTTGGCTTTGTTTTTATACTGTCTGCTTGTAGTGGGACAGCGTGATTTTAATATTTTAAATATCGACAGATTTGTTGACATATGTTGTTGTGGTTGATTTGCGAAGTGATGGGCTTGAGATATGAGGTTTTATCTCTGGTCATTTATGGCTGCATGTTCTGAACGATTTGATGTTCACTCTTCGCCCTAATTAAATTTGCCCTAATTGAATAGAATATGTCTCTTAATAAGTCGGACTTTAGTAGATGTCTTGCTCGTTTTTAAAGGCTCTTGTGAACATGCATGTCGTCACATATCTGCAAGTAAGTATCGAGCCTTTATTATCCCCACTGGAAGTCAAACACACCCGTTCATCCTCAAGCCAGACCCAGCAACTCAGCTACCTTAAAAGACTAGGATGTGAAATGAATAAGTCCATAAACCCCAGAGATCGCCATCTACATATCCCTCTCAGATCCAACTGTCGTCATGTCTGACTGCAACAATAAAACACCGAGTCCCGAGACCAGCGCGGGATACCCTGGACCCACCCGTCAACTCAAGCCTGCATGAGAAGAAGCCGAGGTGAACTTGACATCTTGACCTTGGCAGATTATCGCCTAGCTTCATCTATCTACTTGACGAATTGTTTTCAAAATGGCCGATACATATGCTACAAAGAGCCTCCCGCCACCTCCCGCCGTCTCTAAAAAGACGCTCCCCATGGCGGGACTCCTCGTCGACGTCTACGGCCTCGATGAGCTGCCTCAGAATAAGCCACTGACTTGTCTATGGCTGCTTCATCCTCGCACTCGCACGCGGGCGCGGATGCATGATATTGCTAGTCGGACAATCGCCGCCTGGAACGCCCACGCGGGCGAAGCGCCAGAGCGAGGTCTTGTCGCTTTGGCCTTTGACATGCCTAACCACGGGACACGGCTCGTCAGCAAGTCGGCGAATCTGGCCTGGAACGGTGGGAATGCGAGCCATGCTATTGATATGATGGGTATGGTCAAGGGTGGTGTTACTGACATGTCTGGACTGATGGACCTTGTCGCTGGATATCTTGGTCGTGAGGTTGATGGGCATGTTTGTCTTGGATGGAGTTTGGGAGGACACAGCGCGTGGCAGGCTTGGTTTGGAGAGGAGAGGATTGATGCTGCTGTGGCTGTCGTTGGATGTCCTGACTTTATGAGTGAGTTTCAAACCGAAAAAGAGACAAGGAGAGTCAACTGATGAGATATAGGTCTTATGAGTGATCGCGCTGCTATCGCTAAGTTGGACTGTGGCGCCAACTTTATCGGGAGCAAATACTTTCCCAACGACCTCGTCAAGACTTGCCTCCGCTACGACCCAAAAGCTCTCCTCTTTGGAACATCACCTATCCAATCCGATCAACCCCGTCTAAAGTCTACCCTTGACGCCCGCGTGAAAGAAAAGAGACTGCTCCTCTGCTCAGGAGCCGAGGACGTGCTGGTCCCCTACGCAAACAGCCGACCCCTGGCAACGCTGCTGAAGGATGCTGTGAGAGAGGGGGGTTGGTATGATGGTGGTTTCGTGCTAGAGGATCGTGTTTATGAGGGCGTTGGACATCGGTTTAGTGCCGCCATGGTGGAGGATGCTGTCAAGTTCCTGGTTGATGCGGTGCAAAGGGGACCAAGGGGGAGGGGAAAGACAAGAGATGGGGAGAAGAGCGTTCTATAGATGATCTAGATATAGTGGTATGCTCTAAAGTGGTTTAGATATAGAATCACCATGGCCTTGCTACGTCTTCGTCTAGAACTTCATCCCCATCTTGAATCTTGACCACCAAACCACCACGATCTAGACTTTCATCCGGGAATACACCCTGGCTCACTCCCCAGGGGTTCCTCTTTGCTCTCTTCCCAGCCAAGCTCTCTCCTCGTCCATGAGGATCACTCCTCCACTCGCCCATTGCCAACCCAACACCCTTGATGGCCTCTTCTTTATCGTTTCCATCAGAAGCTCCTGCGGCAGCGGCAACCATTCCTGGTGGATCGATTCCTATAAAGCAGACGCGGTCCAATGGGAATCCAATGGCTGCGCAGTGTCCGTCGACGAGTCGTTCCTTTTTGAAGCCATGGCTCACGATGGTCATCTTTGAAGGCCATGCTTTGAATTTGGAGTAGTAAAGTGTTAATGAGAAGAGGACGTTGTAGTAGGAGTCTAGTGCTCGCTCCTCTACCAAGATCTCGTCGTCGGATGGTCCATCCTGCAAGAGTCCCCAGTGGTCGTGCTCAACAGCGATGTTTGCATAGCTCTGGGCTTCGGATATCTCCGTCTCCTTGCGTGTAGGGCCCCTATACTGTCAGCACCTGAGCCTTGACCATGTCGCAGAGGGAAGCTCACCCTGAAAACACCAGCGTAGAGCCGGACCGGTCAGGGGCGAGGGCCTCCACGCCAGCCTTGACGTGCTGGATAAAGGTGGGGGTCTCGCCGCGCTGAAAGTCGGCAATGAGCCACTCGGCTTCGTCGGCACCGTGAGTTGATCCGCCAAGCCAGATGCCGTGGCAGCAGACGATGATGAGGTGTGTGGGCGCCATGTGGAGGTGTGTAATGAGGGGATTCGCAAGTTTGCGATGGTTGCAGTGAGATGAGGGTCTGATCATGTGATGTAGGCCAACAACCCATGTGAGGTTCGACTAACACTCCGAAGACCAAGGATCAAGAAGAGATGGCATGTTCCCCTGACCAAGAACCGATTCAAGACTCTGGCGTGAGAAATGGCGATGTTGTCATCAACTATACATGCTGAATGCTCAGCCCAGATAGACTTGCCTATGTCGTGGTAATGTACAATCAGGCCCTGTCAATCTCCATATCCAACCCTGTGCTCCCTGTAGATGCACCCCTAGCTCTATAATAGTACAACCGGCTGCAGGTATTCAAGACATGTACTCGTTTCAAGACCATCCATCATTCAAGCTGCTCACTGGTTTCTCCGGGCCGAAGCCAGCTTCGCGGCAAACGGGTCGACGTTCTTTGCCTCCTTCGGCGCAGACGCTCTCTTCCTCCTCTTCGATGTTCCTCTCTGCTCAGCGAGTGCCGCCGCCTCATCCACCTTTTGCTCATTCCAAGTCACGGTCGACTTGCGCACCGCGATAGGCCTGCCCCCCGATGATGAGAGGAACGGGGACCCGGGCGAGGCCTTGCGCTTCTTTGACCGCCCAAAGATCCTGCGATAGCCCATGTACTTCTTGTGAGCCATCGCCGTATATCCCCTGATATTGAACATTGCCACCTCATACTCCTTCCTGTGCATCGAGGCTTGGCTCTTGAGGTCCTCGAGCCGAGCGGCAAGGTTTCCCACTGCCTCGACGGGCTCCTCGGCACCCCCACTACCGGCAGTGGCAGTCAGCTGGTTTAGATCGTTCTGAATAGCGACAATGGTCTTCTTGTATCTCTCCTCCTGCTTCTTGTGGTACGCGGCTTTGCGCTGCTGCTCTGACGTTTCAGCGGACACCTCCGGGGACTGAGGACTGCCACCGTCACGTACATTCAAGAAGACTTTGCTTCGGAGGGGCGACAGGTGAAAGTGTCGCCTCGCTTGCTTGAACTCCCGAGCCTCCTCATTTGTCAAGTTCCTCTCTTGCGCCAACTTGATATATCGGTATAGTTGCGCTCGCCCAGGCCTCCGTGTGCCTAGTTGTCGTGCTCGACGGACACCTTCAAGGCCAAAGAGCTCTCGGATGAGATAAAGACTTCCTGTTACAACTACTGGTCCATCCTGGCCAGCCTTCTCGCAAGCCCACGGCAGAGCGTTCGCAACGGTGGGTTCTCCATTGTACACTTGCTCGGGAGTCTTGACAATGGTCTTGGCATGGTCGGCGCCATAGTTGGCGGGTGCAGGCTGGGGATCGTTGGTGCCGGGAGTAAACTCGACAAAAGCCAGGTTGTCTTGGGGCTTGACAACCTTGTCGATAATTCGGTGGAAAGGCTTGTGCTTGCTCGAGGACATACCCATTACCCAGGTCACCGGTTGATCTGGTTTTCGCATGTGCTTGTCGACATGGCTAACCAGACCCTCGATTCCCAGCATGTTGTGAGCTCCATCGACAAGGATACTTCTTGATTCAAGACCAGAAGCTGGTGGATAAATCTGTACCGTCTCCATTCGTCCGGGTAAGAAGGGTTTCGTAGCCATGAGCTTGTTCAAGTCAATTTCTTTTAGAGGAAATAAATGACGAAAGGCGAGAGCAGCACAGAGGAGGTTCTGAACTTGATAGCTCTCAAGTTTCCACTTTGAGTTGTCGAGTGTCATGAGAAAGGGCTCAGCCTTCCAGGTGAGGATGATATCTGTCCCTACCTGGCGAGCGTGCTCTCTGAGGGCATGAATGACGGAGGGGGGATTAGTATGATCGACGATACAGGGGACGTTTCTTTGCATGATACCGCCCTTGACCTTGGCAATGTTCTCGATAGTGTTACCGAGGAACTCTTGGTGGTCAAGGCCGATCTTTGATATGACGGTGACAGCCTTTTCCTTCATGGCATTGGTAGCGTCAGTGGCTCCACCCATGCCAACCTCGACGATGCCGTAGGGAACATGCATCTTGTTGAAGATGCGGAAGGCGGTTGCTGTCTCAAGTTCGAATGGTGATAGGCCCTCGGGGTCCTCGCCGTGTTGAAACCTCCAGTTAGTGGCGATGCGCTCCCACTTGGCCTCGACGTGCCTCATCTCCATCTCGTACATCCGCGGATTCACATAGAGACCATTGATGGTGACGCCGTTATGTCTCTCTGGGAAAGCCGGTGATGTGAAGCTGCCGTAGCTGAGCCCGGCCAGCTTGAACAGGCCGGCAAGAAAGGCACATATTGAGCCCTTGCCATTGGTACCGGCGACATGAACACCCTTCCACTCTTGATTGTCTGGTACAACCCGGTTGATTCGGTCAAGACCTAGCCGAATGTCTCGGTAACCCGGTTTCCTCTTGTTGGCCAGGGCCCGATATATGCGGTTAATGGCGAACTGAATTTCCTGTGCGGAAGACATGGTGAGGGTGAGACGGCATTTCACCGAGCCCGGCGCTGCGGAGACGAGGTGCCTTGGGAGGCTCCGGAGATGCTAATTGATGCAATCCCGGGATGAATTGACAGATTAGGATGCCTGGGAGTTGGATATCGGCATCAGCATCAACGCATGAGAGAGTCCTTCACGGGCCATTATTTTTCGCTTGAGGCGAGGAAGTCTGGAGGCATTGACCCACTCTTGAAGCACCAGCCACATTACCCCTCCGCCACAGGTGGCCAATCCGTTATCGGGTGAACCGGCTGTACGAGCCACATCTGATACGATTTGCTAGTTCCCTGCCAACTTGCTTGACACTTGGTCGTGAACCTGCACCAATCACTAACAGGCCTGATCACGCGAGACACGCTTCACTCAACGCGCAGCGCGCGACCACCTCAGACTTTAAGCCTCGCCACCGCCTGATTGGCTGATCCATTTCGTCACTTCTTCTCGAATGAATCTCTACCCCCCGCGCCCCTTTGCTGGACCGTCTCGGACTCCATTCTTTCATCCTCTCCACCGGTTAATTACCCGCCCGCTTCACGCTTCACGCTTCCGGCTCTAGGCAGCGCCGTCATCAACCATCTTTCATCTTTCTTCAGGCCAACATTTGAACATTTTGGCATTTTGCATTTGTTCAAGTGTTGATTATTTTTCGGCTTCTTTTTCTTGTCGCTCGCTTCTAGCCTTATTCCCACTGCTTTCACTCCTACAGCCATGGGTCTTCCGTAAGCGCAGCCATGTTTTTTTTTCTCGGATGCCTCTCGTTGCCATCGCGCCAACGCAGTGATCCCTGGTCGATCCATCTTTCGCTATCGCTTCGCAAGCCGGCGCAACATAGATCGTGCTCCGACCGTGAATCCGCCTTGTCGCATTAAACTACGAGGGCGTTGGTGCATTTCAACTTTGTGTCGCCGAGTCAGGATTGACTTATGGACATGTACTGATTTATTGGATCTACAGATTGTTTATCGCCCCTGTCGAGTCAGATCTCCCACCTAAAGCTTCTGACAAGAGCAGAGCTACGTCACCAAACCGCTCTGGAATTCGTCGCCATGGACGTGCTACCGAATATCGCGAGCGCCGCGCGGCATTGCGCCGTCACATCACCGTTCGCGATAACGAGCGCAGAGAACGAGACTTTATGGCGAGATGGCGACCTAGCCCCTTGAGGGAGAGTCACTTGGTGTCTAGGATTGGTCCTGATATTGATGCTGTGACGGGCCCCGATGCCCCAGACGGGGTGCGATTTCGCGACGGCCCGAGAGAGACGAGGCCTGAGGATCGGCGAAGAAACACTCTGGAGGAACAACTCACCTCTCTGTTCAGGGATAACTGGCCTGCACCTGGAGCGACAAATGAGCAGCCAGACGACCAGGTCGATCTTGGATGGTGGACTTTTGAAAGCCTGCCGCGATACAATCGGTCTCGAATTGTCAGTTCTTATCCTTTGTTCTTACTAGTTGAGCATCATCGCTAACATACTCTTCAGGTTGGTCCGGTTAGCTTTCAGCAGGAGGAAGATGGACCACTGCGAAGGCCTCCCCCTCCCGTTCAACAGCCATCTACGACTACTCGCTCGTCAAGCGCTGAACAAGAGAGAAGACGCCGACGAGCTGACTTCCGAAACCGCGCAATGGCTAGGCTTGATATGACTGAGCGCCGACGCAACGCAACCTCGCAACCGAACCGAAGTGTTGATGGACTTGGTGATCGTGACAGAAGCCTCAGCCCTGAGGTGTGGGACACACTTTTGACTACCCTCACGCCCGACCCTCAACCTCCCAGCGCGGGCTCATCTTTTGCATCGACTGTTGCATCGCAGAGTGCTGGCGCATCATCAAGCACACCTCTGACTGCTCCGGACCCGCCCCACGACACGTCGGTTGACCAGGCTTGTGAATCGGGCTGCGAAAACTCGGACACAGAATCGCCTGACTACGAGCATCCCGACTTTGCGCTAATCCGTCGTCGCCGGGATGCGTTGCGACGTGTTCGGGTCCGAGTGCCCGATTACAACTTGGATGGACCGCTCGACGGGCCTCTCGGCCGGAGTAGTGGGGCAGTCAACTCCGAATCCTCGGCCACTCGGCGGCGACGATCACCGGACGGTCCTTTGCTTAGTGGAGAAGATGCCACGGGAAGCACGGCTGAGCTGGATGGCCCTTTGCCTCTTGCTCACCAACGCCCTCGCCATGGTTGGGTAGGACAATTATCCGTGGGCAACTCGGATGACGAGCCAGTTTTGGAGCGATGGGGGGTCACTCGCGAGGGCTCAACAACATCGGGAAACAACACAACTGTTGGAGACGACGATTGGATGGGAATGCAGCGCATTGTTCGAAGTCTTGCACGACGTGAAGATATACCAGACGAGTGGTGGGCCGAGGCAGGCCTCAGTCGAAACTTGCCAGGAGATGGGCCCGAATGAGCGAGCGGGCACATTTGCTTTGTATTTTATAACGGATCAAAACTGACAGGGTGCTCGATGTGTCAGGAAAACAACAGCGAGAAAGCGTCGGAGTGTCGGAGGTTTAGATGTCTGAGTATACTGGGACGGTCAACGGTTAAGGGGGTGTTAGAGTCAATTCTGTATAATCGCGGGTGCTTTCATTTAGCTGTCGTGTGGCAACCCACCCACACTACAAATCAGTATCATGAGCCAGACATTTTGGTCACGTCAAGTGCTTTGACTGCTGGGCTTATTGTGAGGGGGTTTTGGATAGATTTGCGGCGTCATGCATGTGCCTGGACCCTCATCTATGTAGACAGGCCCTGGCAGATGCAAAACGATGGTGGCTTGAAGTACCTTGTCTTCGGAACGGCTGCGTGCTGTTGGTCGCGATAACTGCTGGACACAGATGAGAAATACGAGGGTATAAGGTGCCAAGATGCGAGGGTTTCTCCGGTCCTTGGTGCAGTTGACCGTCGAGGGTGCCAGGGCTCTTGAGGGCATCCGCGCGTACCTAGTTACCAACCAATTGGTAAGACGCGGCAAGGACGAAACGAGGATGCCCTGCCGCATTGACGAGTATGTATCCCCTGGTCGTCTACGGAGGGTGCGAGACATCGTCATGCCAGCGTCACGTCAGGCTGGCCAAGAGTGATTGCGCTTTGATCAGGGAATAGCCTGAACGCGTTGGTTACTGCTTACAACGAGTCTTTCCCCCCGCGACTCGAAATCGATCGGCAGTGAAATATCCTTGACCAGCTACGGACAAGGGGGTATTCGACATGGTGTGAGGAAAACAGAGGTAAGCGCATTTCTCGAGTTGGCATGGCCGCGGCGATGCACTCCAGATCGGAGGTTCGCAGCCCCCCAAGTCTGTCGTACATGCCGGGATGAGACGCATTAGTGGCCCTAGGCTAGGGGCGGTAGTCGATGATAGATCGGTATCGTTTGCGGTTGCGAGCAGGGAAGTGTCAGTCACTTGCGGTTTGCCCGAAGAGTTGGCGTTGTTGGGTCGTTCGCTTACAAGTCATCCTGGCCGTAACTAGTAGTTGAGGCGTCGCAGGAGCTGGCTGAAAGAGAATAAGCCGGGTGTCAAGAGGTGAGTACATTGTGCACATGACGACTGATCCAGGCACTGGCACACATGAAATCCCTCGGCCACTTTCTTTTTTGATTGTCCTTCTAATCCTGCCGGCGGTGAGAGGCGCACCAATGTCGTAACCCGTCGTTGTAGTTCAGTTCCGGGGGATGGGCTTACCTTACTCGAGAACGATGGAGATGTCTTGGAAATTCTGCGACACTTTGATTAGGAGCGTCGCCCAATGAGGATGAGCGGGACATGCTGCCTTTTTGGGTGGACAGCCTTACAAGGAGTTGGGCAAGTAATAAGGCAGAGTGAATGCATTGCATTACATGGCATGGCATGGCATGAACTTGGGCTGTTTCAACGGGAAGTCATAGCATTGTCGAGGAAAGACACTGGTTTTAGAGTCAACAGATGTGAGCCATCATGATCATGATAGAGATCTGCAGCCTGCCGTTCCCCCAGGTATGGATGGATTGCTTCGTTGTCGGCGTGGTTGCTGCTTGTTGGGTGTCACCAGCAGAGAGCCACCTCACCTCACCTCACTGTGGAGAACCGGGGGCCATCCACCATGCGCGGGCGATGAGCCAGTGGGGAACAGCCCGCACCGCCCAGTGCCGGGAGACAGCCCTGTAAAGAGGTAGGTATCGGGACCTGCGGCCCAGTAGCGGGCCATCCCTCTGCAGGGCGCTGAACAGCGCTGGAGTTACAGGCAGCGTGCACGCCCGTCCACTCGGCGGAGGCCAGCAGTCAGGGACCGCAGGTACGGGTACCCGGACCCGGCGTAGGTTGGGTTGCGAGAAACAACACCTCAAGCGAGCGCAGGTCCATGATTGGGGATCAATCTTTTGGTCCAGTCGAGCCAAATTTCTGCCCAGTTGTCACTCATTCTTCTTTTCTTCTCTTGCAAACTTGACCGTCTGATCCCCTCCTTGCTCCCTGGGCCTCTGTGCGTAGTCCAACCCGTCTCTCGTTTTAGCGGCCGCACGAAACGAAACGAACCTCTGCTCTCTCTCGTCTCCCCTCCGACAACCCTTGACTCGATCACGTTGACGACCTCGACGATCCTGCGAACCGCACGACCTCTTCGACGAGACGACCGAAGTTACTAAGCGGTCCAAAGACGATCTCAATCTCGACTTCGCATGTAGAAACGAACCGTTACCGCTCTTCGCCCTCCCCTGCCTCGATATTTGCCGGGAATGAGATCTCCGTCTTGACACAGAAACCCGGTTCTCTTCCTCGTCGCCCGCCTCTGCTCGTCCCGAGGAGGTAGATTCTCGACTGGCTATCGCTATAACCGAGACTCACGCAGTGGGAGCGTGCCGAGTGATGATGCCTGAGCGGCAGTTCCATGCCAATGGCCGCGCCGCCGTGGCCAGCCGCGAGCGACCAATGCCCGGCACGCCCTCTCGCAAAGAGAAGCACCGCGAGAGCTCTGCCCTGCAGGATCCGGGGCTCAAGGACTACGTGCGTACACTCTCCAAGCTTCCGCGCCAAACTTTTTTGCAGGAAGAGAGGAGGAAGCAAGGGTTTAGGTTCAGGGAGAGTTGTGCCAAAATGCTAACGTTATACCTGCATGCAGCGCTTAGGTGAATGCCTCGGGAAGGGCGCTTTTGGATCCGTATACAAGGCTTTCAACTGGGGCAACGGCGAGGCGGTTGCTGTCAAGCAGATCAAGCTCGCGGATCTGCCCAAGAGTGAACTGCGCATGATGGAGGTGGGTTTGTTCCTGGATAAGTCGAATAACAAGAGCTTATGGGGTTGCCTGGAACCGAGATGCTGACAGTGTGACGACTAGAGTGAAATTAATTTGCTCAAGAATCTTCATGTAAGAAGCTTCCTCTGCAGACGAGATAACTTCTAACCATGACAGCACGACAACATTGTCAAGTATATTGGATACGTCAAGTCCGTTGACGCCCTTAATATTATTCTCGAGTACGAATCCCCATGGATGTTCAAAACGCCTGGCTGACCAACTAGGTACTGCGAAAATGGTTCCCTGCACTCGATCTGCAAGGCTTATGGCAAATTCCCCGAGAATCTCGTTGGTGTCTACATGACCCAAGTCCTACAGGGACTTCAGTATCTCCACGACCAGGGTGTTATCCACAGAGACATCAAGGGCGCCAACATTCTCACCACCAAAGATGGAACAGTAAAACTCGCAGATTTTGGAGTTTCCACCAGTACTCTCGCTGGTGGGCAAGACAAGGAGGCGCAAGTTGTCGGCACCCCCTACTGGATGGCCCCTGAGATCATTCAGCTGTCTGGAGCGAGCTCTGCCTCTGATATCTGGAGTGTCGGTTGCACCGTCATCGAGCTTCTCCAAGGCAAACCCCCATATCACAACCTCGCCGCCATGCCCGCGCTATTTGCCATCGTGAACGACGACCATCCCCCTCTACCTGAAGGAATCTCGGCGGTTGGTCCACCCAATTGTCCTTGTCGCCCTTTGCTGACTTGATTCAGGCCGCCCGAGACTTTCTGATGCAGTGTTTTCAGAAAGACCCAAATCTTCGTGTAACAGCCCGCAAATTGCTCCGCCATGCTTGGATCACAGGCTGTCGTCGAACCGAAGCACCCGTATCAAAAGCACCAGCCAATTTCAGCGACGCCGTTGAGGAGGTCAAGCAGTGGAACAAGGCGCTCAAGTCATCCGAGTCATCGCTCCGAGCCTCGACTGGCTCCGAATCAGGCCCCTCGACACGGTTTCTCGGTGGAACGCCCGCCAAGGGTTCTTTGACTCTCGCAAAGCCCCGACCTGGCGCTGAAGCTTTCAGTAAGCCTGAACTTGCTGGTATGTGCAAATCTCTCGTCGATCCGGTCGCCTTAAACCGCAACCGGGAAGTTGGCGTCTTCGGTCAACCGAATCCGTTCAAGCTCCCTCCAGAGACTGACATTAATCTACGCAGATGACGACAATTGGGATGACGACTTTGCAACAGCCATCTCACCGAGTGCGCTGCAGCTACCCCATCTCAAGCCTCAGGATAATTTTGGCGGCCTTTTGTCCAGCGACCGCCTCAAGGCGTTTGCGTCGGTGAATGATGGAAGAAACGATAGCAGCGCCTACGACGACGACTTTGAGGGAGAACTCATGACGATAAAGGGTCCACACCATTGGCAGGACAATGATCCTCAGGAACAGACGATCCGACCTCTACCGAAGAAGACTACCAAGACACCAGAGCCCAAATCGCACAGCCGGAACAAGTCGAGCTCGAGCAGGGCCGTAGGCTCAGGCCGGACCAGATCGCCTACGAAATCACACTTTAACAAGTTTGAGCTCCCATCGAGACCAGACGTTGTGTATCGCGAGCACAGCATCGAGGACTTTTCGGATCTATTTGTGGATAATGATAGTGTATTCACCCACAAGGTGAATCAGGCTGTAAGAAGAGTAGGTCTTACGTATCATGATGGACTATCAAGGCTTACAATTTCACAGGGCTCACGGCAGAGCGATGCACCACAACTATTCCATCCATCAGACCTCACGACCCTACCGAGATCAATGCAGGATCCTGTTGGGAGCAGCATCAAGAAGAAGCCCAGCTCCCGACCATCCGTGCTTCCCGACCGACCAATGCGACGTACTCGGTCGTCGATAGAGATTCAGAAATTCGCAGAGGACGACGACGAAGATTTTAGCGACATTTTCGGCCCTGAAGGCTCGATAGTCGAAAAGGAGGAGAGCGAGAGAGGCTCCGAGGATGGTGGATTGATGCTCATGTCCCGCGTGTCGAGCAACTCCTGGTTAGGGGACGACGAGGATGAGGACGATCCGTTTGCGTCGATGGACCCAGGATGGGACGAGATGGACTTGGAGGCAAATATTGCCAGGGATCGACATGCCAGGTTAGCAGAGAAGGTTGAGGGATTGGTGAGGTCGTTGAAGACGACAGAGGGCGAGGATGCCCTAGCTGAGTTCTCCGAGGACCTTGTAAGTCTCGGCAACTTTTTGAATGAGGATCTACTAACCATGTATAGCTTGCCTTGCTTTGGGAGAACAGTGAGGTGAAGAACTTGATTATCAGCGCCCACGGATTGCTTCCTATTCTTGAGATCCTAGAGCCATGTACGGTCAAGAGCAGACAGTACATGATATTACAGCTGCTCAAGGTTGTCAATGCAGTAAGTCTACAATCACCCCCATCAGGAGACTAGCTAACATCCCAAGATTATCCTGGATGACGTGGAAATTCAAGAAAACCTCTGCTTCGTCGGTGGAATTCCCATCATTACAAAGTTTGCTGCACGGCAATACTCTGACGAGATCCGTCTCGAGGCAGCTGCCTTTGTTCGTCAGATGTATCAGACGTCTACGCTAACACTACAAATGTTTGTGTCGGCAGGTGGTCTCAACGTCCTAGTTGAGTTCCTCGATGAAGACTACGACGTTACGAGAGACCTGGTCCTTATTGGAGTCAACGGAATCTGGAACGTTTTTGAGCTCCAAGGCCCAACGCCCAAGAACGACTTTTGCAGAATTTTTTCACGAAGCAAGATTCTTTATCCTTTGGCACTGGTTCTACACAGGGTCCTCGACGAGGAGGGCGAAGATGAGCTGGGCGAGCTCATCGAGGGACGAATTGTCAACATTTTCTATCTCTTCAGCCAGGCGGAGAACTACGTCAAGGAGGTAGTGGCAGATCGGCAGGTGCTGAAGAGCGTGCTGAAGGATTTACGCCGCATGACGCCCATCCACCAAATCACGATGCTCAAGTTCATCAAGAACCTGTCGATGCTTTCGACCACTATCGAATCACTGCACTCAGCTGATGCTATCGAGTTCCTGATTGATCTTCTCAGCTACAGCATGAAGAAGGGCCAGACCCACTTCCGCGAGATCTCTAACCAGGTCCTTAACACCTTGTTCAACCTCTGTCGTCTGAGCAAGGAACGCCAGGAGGACGCTGCGGTTGGTGGTATTATCCCACTGCTTCTACGTATCATGCAGACCGACCGCCCACCGAAGGAGTTTGCTCTTCCGATCCTATGCGACATGGCGCATTCAGGATCAAAGGGACGGAGATATCTATGGCAGAACAAGGGTCTCGATTTTTACGTGTCACTACTTACGGATCAGTACTGGCAGGTTACGGCACTTGATGCCATCTTGATTTGGCTGCAGGAGGAAACGGCCAACGTGGAGAGCCACCTGGTCGAGGGCAGCTTCATGCGCGCCATTGTCAGCTGCTTTGGCACAAACAGACTCAATGCTTTCGATTCGAACCTTCTGGAGCCGTTGCTCAAGCTACTGCGCCTGAGCCCGTCAGTTGCGGCGTCGCTGGCGAAGCCCGAGATGTTTGCGGGTATTGCGCAGCGCCTTGGACACAAGAAGGCTGTTGTGCGGCTGAACCTCCTCAGGCTGGTGAGGACTATTGTGGACGCTTGTGAGCCAGGCTTGGGCAGCGGCGATGGAACACGGTCACTCAACAGCTCCCAAGTTCGGTCTCTCATGGCTGCAATCCAGACTCTATCGGAGAAGGATTCAGCTGTCCTAGTGCGGAACCTAGCTTCGGAGCTTGTCAAGTCGAATATCGAGGGCAGTGGAAGAACCAACGACAGCGCGCCGAGTTCTGTACCAAGTTCGACCTCATCACGTCGGGGATCGCGACGTAATACGAGCTACACACCCCCTGGACTGCACTCGTCCATGTCGGTTCCGCAAACGCCAACTCATAGAAGCCGCGCCAGCCTCGCGGGCAATGCCTACATAGAAGTAGCAGCGAGCCCAAGACGCTCAGCGGCGGTGGAACGGGAGGGTATGCTATATCGGCCGCGGAGCAGAGACGGTCCTACGGGGATTCCCCGACGCATCAGCGGCGAATTTGGCGCCGCGGGCAAGAGCCGGCTCCCGCGGACGTCTCTAGCCGGGGGCAGCGGCTCACGATCAGCGGTGGGAGTCAGCGGAAATGGCAACAGCTCTGTCATTGGGTCACGAGGCGATATTCCAATGGTCGTCCGCAGCGAGAGCAGCATGAGCAACAAGGAGAACGTAGGTCGCGCACCAGGCAGCCGCGATGGCCTAGGCAGCCGAGATGGAGGCATGCCGCCGCCAGCCGGTCTTTCAGGGGGGTCGGGTACCGTGGGTAAGAGACGGAGCCGAGTGCCAGGTGAGATCAAGTGGCCTTGATGAACAGGAGGAAATGAGCATGAGAGAGGCATGAAGATGCATGATTTTTGTACATGAGAAAGACATGATGGAGGGGGTTGATGAAGAGGATGTCATGATAGACGCGATAACACAAGGGGGGCAGCGATACAGGAGTACAAACGCAAAAGATCAATATGAAGCAATTCTTGCTATTCTAGATGCCTGTTTATTTTGTCCTTTTCTGGCTGAGGTGTGATGAATTGGCTATTATAAATCAAGGTACTCCGAGGATGGGGATATGACCCAGCCATTGCTCAGTAAGTGAAGAGAACGATGAGTCAATATGAGGCAGTCGAGAATTCATTTGACAGGATCCTAAGGCCGGGCTCATTGAAGAGCCAGGACCAGAGGTTGAACCAAAGCTGGAAGATATCTCTAGCGTCTATTCCGGCATAACCCCTAGCCCTGGTAGAGAAGGGCCCCAACGCTCCTTTGACCTAGAACCCATAGTGATGTCGGAGAGAACATGATTCTCAAAACCCCTCTCAGACATCAAGCTCATCACCACCGTAGAAGTGACAATGTCTCCGTCCTCTATAGGCATCCAGGACAGGGCCAGAGGCGGGAAGACTCTATCACTGCGGGACCTGGCACGCACTGTGTTGGCCCTCGAGAAGTTTGCTAGCCCTCGAAGTACTTGATTGAAATGTAACGCCACTCCCGTCGGCTCGGGCGCTTTAGGCCAACGGTTTACCTAACGGCAATCCTTAGGCTGTCTTCATGGTAAAGGTTGCCTAAGGTACAACGGTCGCCACGTGACAGCCTCAGTATCAATCAACACCAAGCCCAGGACATCACCAAAGCACAACTCGATCATCAAGACCTCAAAAATGCAAAAAGAAAGAACCTAGAAAGCGTATGGGATTACTCCCGCCAGGGCTTGAGCCTGAGACATAACCCGAGTTTAACAAGTTCGCCCACGAAGGTGGACCTTTCCTTCCATAGCCATAACATTATAAGCCAAAAATATGAGGCAAGGCGTCTAAAAAGTAGACCAAGATACCTAAATGGGAATCTTTTATCAGCATGCTTCCGCCTGGGCTTGAACCAGAGGCCTTCGCATTACAGAACACTCTGATGGAGTATTAGTACGACGCTCTAACCAACTGAGCTACGGAAGCCGACTTGGTGATTGAGCGGATGACCCGCTCTTGGTTGGAAACGGCGGGCAGTCAGTCAGGTTAACAAGGAAGAGCAGGAGTGAATGGTATTCATTGATCCGTGATGTGAAGGTTCGCAGAGGCCATTGACGGCTGTTGTCTAGAGTTCAGGGTGCATTGTTCGTCATTAGTTGCATTAGCGGTTGTGCTACTGATTCAATGCACAGCCAAGGCTCGTCCCAAGCCCAAAAATCGCCACGTAGCGAGCAAAACCTTGTCGGGACAACATAATGTGTCGATTATGCTTAACTCAAATCCAGGGTCCAACAAAGCCAGAGATCCACTAGAACCCACAAAGGGGACGTTCAAACACGAGAATGAGGCCTCTCTGAACGAACAAAGATAGAAACACGACGACGTTGCCGAACAAAGAAAGCCTCTCGCCGCCTAGTTTCACACGCGTCGTCGGTGGGCGGCTCGAGTGGCTGACAGTAAACTTCAGGGGTCTTTCTCCACCGGCAAGCCAAAGAACCGGTTTTCCCAGCCGCCTGCAAACAAGGGGACAACCACCGATCATGACGCAAGCGCCTTGGATCCGCGGCGGGCCATGATTGGCTGGGGCGTCATGTCTCGTGTGGAAGTGGCCTTTGTTTCTGGCCATGATTTGCAGGGCGATGCGCTCACCTGGGTCAAACCTGGTTCTGATTCTTTGGCGGCTGGGGGTTTTTTTCGTTTGCTTGGATGGCGGTGGTTCTTTGACAGTGAATCATGTTGCATCATGATGTTGGAGGGATGCCTATATAGGGCACTCCCACCTCCCAAAGGGGACATGTTCTATTGGTATTCCTTTCTGGACATTCCCTATTTTGCTTATACTTTAAGAATATTCAACTAGGACGATTGTGATAGGAGACGCGACTTACACCATGTTGTCGAGGTTTTTTGTCTTTTTCCCCTTGGTGTTATCCTTGGTGGCATTTATCCTCTCCATTCTGTGCCTCTTTGCTGGACATAATGAAGGCTTTATGGAAGAGTATGCTGTAGCACGGGTAAGTTGAAATTGTCCTCGTGTATGTTTCTTTACTAACAAGTCCAGCTCAACACCTCAATGATCGGTCAAAACTTGATCGACACCAGCAGCGACGCCTCCACCAACGAGGAAGACGACGACAACCTCTTCGGCAGTGTCAAGGACAAGTGGGAAAAGGCCAAGGAAAAGGTCAAGGAAGAGATCAACGACATTACCGGAGATGTCGCCGACGAGCTGGCCGACAGGCTTGGTGTTTCCGAGTGGTACTCTATCCATGTCATGTCGACGTGCGACGGAGACTTTAAACCCAATGCCACGAGCCCCGGTGCTGGGTTCAACGTTACCAACTGTACCAACTCGGCCCCTGAGAGTGAGTTACTCGAGATGCAACATTGGGAAATGTGCTGACCTTTTTAGAACGATTCAACCTTACCGAGTTGCTTGACCACCAGCTTGAAGTTGGTCCCTTCCAGCTCAGCCTGACCGATATCAACTGGCCCGATGACATTCAGGACGCGATCGATATGCTCAACTCGGCTCTGCTCGCCTTGTTTGTGCTTTACGTCCTCGGTGTAGGCTTCTCGGGTCTTGCTATGCTAGGCAGTCTCGCAGCCTTCTTCCTCTTTTCACGCCGTGGTGTCAACGCAGCCAACCTCGGCCTCGCCAGTCTCGCAGCACTGTGTCTCACAGTGGGCAGCATTCTCGTTACAGTCGCCGGCGACAAGGGCGTCGACAAGATCAACGACGTTGGCGATGATGTTGGAATTTCCGCATCTCTTGGCACAAAGTTCCTCGCCTTGACCTGGGCATCTTCTGGACTCATGATTGCTGCGACAATCTACTGGACGACACACCTCTGCCTCATGCGACGCGAGAGAAAGCGACAGTGGACACCTCGCAAGGGCAGCTACTGAATTTCCCTAACGACTAGAATGATTCACACTTTCCTTGGTTAAAAATCGGTTTTGGGGTGGCGGCTATGATACCAGAGTGTTTAACTTGTTAAGGGGTTGAAGAATGGTTTCCCTCTTTTATGACTTTACACATTATACACACAGCCACGCAATTGGCATATGAACAACTATTAAATAACAAATAGTAATAAGATAGCTGGTCTATCCAAATTGGCTTCAAGTGATCTTTCTCAGTGTCATGCGTGCAATGTTGGGAGATCGCCTTGGTAGACCCATGAATAGTGCTTGTGACGTCACCGCTGCCCTTGAATAAAGTGACAGGCATCCAACTGTCGTGCCACACCAACCACCAACATTCGCAGCTTGTTTGTATGCGTCATGATATGGCAAACCTGATTTGAATTCAGAACTCGACTTTACTCTACTTCATAGCAAATGTTTGTGGCTTCTCGTCTTAACCTGCCTCGACTCTGGGGAACATCTCGCCCTACCGGCTACCAGACCATGCCCGGTGGCTTCCATGATGAAGAGTCCGGCTCAGGAGAGTCGGACTCGCTACTCGACCGCGGGCAACGAAGAGTACGTCGTTTCTGGGACGGCTTTGTCGACTTTGCATTTCAAGGCAACATTCTCCAGATTGCCTTTGGTTTAATGTGAGTGAGCTCGCGTTTGTGTAGGCTTCAACGCTGACCGTGATAGTCTCGCCGCTGCCTTTACAGACTTGGTCAAGTCATTTGTCAGTGATGTTCTCATGCCGCCCATATCCATCATTCTCCCGATCAACAAGAACATGGAGGAGAAGTTTGCGGTGCTGAAGCCTGGACCCAACTTTGACTCTGAGACGGGATACAACACGCTGCATCAGGCGCAAGATGATGGCGCCGTTGTCATGGCCTACGGGTGAGATATGCGCTCATTATATCTTGTCCAGAGACTAATAGCATCAGGTCGTTTATCAGCCAGGTCATATCATTTGCCATACTCGGTCTCTCGCTGTATGGGCTTGCACACCTATACCAGCTCGCGTCGACCGAGCCTATCATCAAGCACACCAAGAAGTGCAAGTACTGCAGACAAAGGATCAACGAAAAGGTGAGAGTACAATTCTTTGAACTGAGTTCTTAGCTAACAAACATAGTCTGCGCGATGCATCCACTGCACGAGCTGGCTTGATGGAAGAGAGGAGCAACACTAACAGCAAACATGATACCCCATTTTCTCTCTGGATTAGAATGCAACGCTTGCGATGTTGAAGTGCATTTTCATTTTTCGGTCAAGACTTCCCTTTTATCATTATGGGACGCCTTTGGTCCTTTCTTGCCTCTTTCTATATCCTTTTTGCCTGATATTGCCTTTGTTTGAGGCGATTGATATACCCAGGGTGATAGCATTACATGCAAGTCATTGATCAACGCGATGCGATTCACAAGTTTAGCTCCACACTTGTCTTGGTGACGAAAACAGCCACCTCCTTTCACATGAGATGTACTTCTGAAAGGGCCATGATTTTTTTCTTTCTTTTTTTTCCACTTTTTTAACAATAACAATGAAAATGGAGTGGAAGAGGCTGCTTTCATCAGGGGCCATCTTGTAGAAGCTCCAGCGGAACGCGGAGAAACTTAGCCCCACATCATCGGTGGCTCCTACCTAAACGGCCTAACCTCAGTGGTTGCTGTGCAACTGCCAAAATTGGTTCCCGCCAAAAAGTCAAGAGAACTCAACCTCGACTTGGGGGCCATCGCGTGTGAACATTGACACTCTTCATCTCACCAACCACGATCCTCTATCATCGCCGACCTCCATCTACGGCTCGGCGAGCACCTTCTCCCATCATGGCTCCTCTCATCCTTCACAACGTCCCCGACGACGAGTGCTACATTGGCGACGATGGCATCAAGCGGCCATACGCCATGTATTTCAACCAGTACGGCCTTTCGCCATCTCCCCCCTCCCAAAGCTGACCTTTTATCTAGACAAGATGGTCCTCAGGGCAGCACTCGCTCTCGCCGCACCGTCGCCGAGTCTGGCTCGTTTGGCAAATCCAATCGTCGTTCCCGATCACGAACAGGGACACCAGCCCGAAGCCGCGAGAATCCCACCCTCGCCGCCGCAGACAAGCTCTTTGGCGACTGGGTTAACAACCAGGCCGCTGCCGCTCCCGCGCCTGCCGTCCAGCGTAAGAATAGCGGCATGATGCAGGAGGAGGCAGCCGCCCAGCGACCCGTCACGTCTACCCCCGTCGAGATTATCCTTCGCGGTTACCGATCATCCACCCAGCAGTACGCTGCCATCTCGCGATACGAGGGACTGGCCGGTACCATCCTCGAAGATTACCCCCGCGAGCCTCCTGCGAATCAGCGCCGGTACAAGTCTGAGCTCCGAGATCCTGCCTTCACGCGACGCCGGACCTTGACCTCAGACGAGCGAGCGCTGGTGAACCGGGCAGACGGTGGAGAGCATTGGGTCAAGGTCACATTTGGAAGCAGTGAAGCTGGCGAGACGGCCATCTATGCCAGCCCTCAGAGGATACTGGGACACTTGGTGTATGCTGAGCCTTACCGAGGACACCCCCCTGCCAAGGACGAAGCTTGCCCCGATGTTGACAACGCTGTCCCCGACCTTTCGCGATCTCAGAGCATGCCAGCTCCTACTCCTAGGACCAAGAGCTTCAGCGGAATGCCTACTTCGTTCAACAGCCGTCTCCTCGATCTTTCTCCTCCTCACTCGCAAACATCAAGCCTCACAATGGACACGGGAACCATCAGCCAGTCGACCGCAACCGTTACCGAGCCGCTACCTCAAAGCACCACCACAGGCATCGAGCCAATCGAGATCCAAGATGAAGATAGTGTCTTCTGTCGTCGCATCCCTACCGCCCGCCGTGCCACCCTTCTCCCCGCTGAGCAGGCACTTCTTCCTCAGCAGACGGTTATGCAACGTTTGGTCAATGCCATCCCCTTTGTCAAGTGGTTCGGTGGTAGCATGATTGGTAACGAGGTCCCCCGTACCGAGACTGGCGAATTCGACTGGACCCGCGCGAGTTTGTACTGGAAGCTCATCTGGTGGCTGGATGCCACATTTGGACTGTTCAGTGGTGATGTGCTCAACGCCGACAAGGATGACTAGGAGATGACATGTTGGTTTTGGAAGCGCAAAATCCGTCGACGTAGCAGAAGCAGGAGCAAGAGCAAGAAGAAGAGGAAGAGCAGCAGCAGCATCATTACTGCAGTGTATGAAGGATAAAGGTTAATCATTGGCCAAGGCGTATTACGGTCATGGTCATGGCGTCAGGCGTGTGGGAATGAATGAATGGGCCATATCTGGTTCTGAATGGCCTATCCGTACTTTGGGAGGCATAGGCATAGAGATCAAGAAACCACATAATGTTTGTACAACACTATCATATCAACCAACCAACGAGAACAAGTACCCATGGATGCAAATCTATTGCCGGTCCCAGCCAGCCCTCCGTGAAGAGAATGTCTTGCAAAATACAATACCCACACAAACGCCCTAGCAGATAACTCCCGAAAGTAGACAGTCCCATCATCACCCAGGACTTTTAGCATCATCACCACTCCATGCTGCGTCTGCAGAGCTGGCATCCGTGATGAGACCCGGTGACCGTGTCCTTTCCCTTGCTGAATCAGAAGTCGGTGGCCTCCCTCTAGGCTCCTCCTCATTCTCTTGGCCGTCGTCATGTCGTTCCTCTTCCCCGTCTGCTTCTGCAACAGGCATCAGCTCCGGCCTGTGCAGTTCCTCATCCTCAAGTCCACAGGGCACACTCCCAGAGAGCGAGTCAAACGTCACGTCCGTCGGCACGCGGCGGATAGGCTGCGGTGAAAACGGCCTCGCGTTCCGGGGCTTGTTGAAGTCTGTTGAAAAGACACTGTCGCTGTCATTACCCCCGCTGCTCTGCTTCGAATCCGAGGCTAGCGCTGCGAGGGACTGGTACCGGTCGGCTTCCATGAGGAGGCTATCGCTCCTTGCGTGGCCTGGTCTGGACGCTTCGGATCCCGTGTCGGCGAGTATGCTCTTCGGGGGCAGGATAGAGAAGAGTTTTGGTGTTTCTCCGCTGCTACCGCTGAGGTTTGCCGTGTCTTCCTCTGTCGCGAATAGGTCCTGACCCTTTTCGAGGAGGTCGTCTAGACCGCCGCCACTCCAGCCTTTTCTTGCCAGGCCCTCAAAGATGTCCACCTCTGCGCGCACGAGGCTACAGCTGGCATCAACGATCCTTGCACTCGTCTCTTGACTTTCCCTCAGTAATGTGCGTGCGTGGTCTGCGTGTAGCGTTGTTAGGCCGTCGAGCTTCGTCGTCAGCTCTACCAGGTGGGCTCGGAAACGCGAGACATCACGCCGTCGCTGCTTGTGAAGCTTCAGGCCTTCCTTTTCCAGACGCTTAATCTCCCTGCTCTGTGCCTTTATCTTTTGCTTGTATGTCTCCTCCTCATCGTCGATAACAGTCTGCCACTTGTCGAGGTCGTGTAGTAGTGGAACCTCAAAGGACCGGTAGACAGTCTCAGAGAGAATCTGCTGGTGGTTCGCGACGAGATAGTGGACTCCCGAAGCCGACATGAGCATATCGGCGGTACAAGAGCCCTTTGTGGTGAAGCTAGCCGTCATGTTGGCACCAGACGGGCCGATAGGCTCAGCGCGAGCCTCCTTGAGTCTTGCGCATGCTTCTAAAGCTGACCCAAAGGTAGAGGCGGCAGTAGATAACGCGGCGAGGGCGAGGCGATAAGCCTTTGCCGAGGAGACGAGGTCCGAATAAGCTTGCTGAGAGTTTTCGAGATCGGCTTTGGTCAAGACGGCATGAGCGGGTCGCGGAGGCGGGGGAAGCGGTAAGCTGAACTGGGAGAGGGGATTCGCCGTGGACGCGATCGAGTATACGGGAGATCCGGGGACAGGCGGGAGCTGCGACGGCGTGGGGGACGCAGGACGAGAGAGTTGTTGTTCCGAGGCCATGTTTTTTTGGTGTGTTTGTTTGTTTACCTGAGGGCTCTCGGCGACGACGGCGGACGGGCGCTCACCGAGGTGAGGAGCATAGCTCGTAACTTGAGCCTGAGGATGGTGAGGAGAGAGAGCGTGGAGGGAAGAATGGATGAGAATCGAATTGAGCATATGACGGAGAAGGTTTCGGAGACGAGGTGAAGCCGGGGCCGGCGAACGGTTGGAGAAGCCCAGTCCGCCCGGGGGAGGGAGGGATGAGGAGGTGGCCCCACTGTAATCCTAGGGCACTTGGCGGTCCGTCCTACCTAGCGCAATTCGTGGCAGCGCACGTCATTGAGCATCAAGAGGTTGTACCATCACAAGGTTACGGCCACGCGGCAGTAAGAGTGGGGGAATGATTGGTCCATCTGACATGTTGAACCCTTTTTTTGTTGATTGTGTTCTAGCTGTTGTCTAGAAGATCTCTCAAGTCTAGGTACTTCAAGTAACGCTGTCTAAACATTTCTCCTAGTTCTTGGGAGGGAGCTGCTGTCGCAGGAAAGCCTCCACCTCGTCCAACTCCTCCAGACAAGCAGAATGTCCCATACCACTAGATAATAGTCAGCATAACACTCACAATTTCAATGAGATGTCAAACTTACGGGTAAACCTTCCAAGACACATCGTAGCCAAGCTCCTTGAGAAGGTCAACGCTCAGCTTGCCCCGCTGAATATTGACAATGGGGTCCGCGTCGCCGTGGAACATCTTGACGGGGGTCTGTCGGTTGGCGTCGGTGGGCGACACCATTCCCGCGAAGCTCTGCGAGAGGAGAAGCCACGACGACATGCCAATGATGCCTCCGAGCTTGTTCTTGCAGGTAAGGCCTGACAGGATGGACATGGCGCCGCCTTGGGAGAAGCCGCCGAGGACGATGCGCTCCGAAGGGATGCCGGAGTCGATCTCCTCCTGGATCA